ATGAGGCGGGCTTTTGGGTTGAGGTTGTGATGAAAGTCCTGGGTGTATTTGTTTTGCAATTTTTGTTATGACTGCGCCAGGAAGCGGGTGAAGGATCGGAGGAGGAAGTCCCCAAAGAGGAAGATGAATGCGATGAACAGGGGGATGAATGCGATGAAGGGGAGGGTGAATGCAAGGAAGATGAGGGTGATGACATCTCCAGCGGTGCGGAGGGAAGGGGAACCTTCAAGGACAGCAGGGTTTGTTTGCATCAAACTATTCTAAGCACTCAGGTCATTGTGCTAGGCTGGTGCTGTTGTTGTTGTTGTTGTTGTTGTTGTTGTTTCAGACTGCCACTTGTCGATTATTCTTGTGAAGTTGTCTCTAATCTAGATTCTAATCGATCCTGCTGCTGCTGCTGCGGCTGCTGCTGCTCCTCCCCGTCCTCCAGCTGATGCGGGCGGTGGTGCTCGAGACTGTGGTGGTGGTGGTGGTGGTGGTGGTGGTGGTGGTGGTGGTGGTGGTGGTGCTGGAGGAGGCGGCGGCAGCGGCGGCGGTGGTGGTGGTGTTGGCGGTGGCGGCGGTGGTTGTGGGGGTGGCGGTGGTAGGGGTGGCGGCGGTGGAGGCGGCGGTCAAGTTTTCATGTTGGGATTGTGTTATTGCGGATATCAATGTTGAGCGCGATGTTTGCAACCATCTTACAAATTTTGCAATGTGATATGCGCTGTGCGACAAGGATGAGAAACCGGTCGTGGAAAAGGAGGATTGCAGCCTTCCAATCGAAGTGAAGAAGAAGGCCAAGGACCAAATGATGCAGGAAGGTTGCGTTGATCCGAATGATGTGCTCCAGGCGGATTTCTGGGACTATGAGAGGGTTCTTGGGATTGAAATGAGCTGCTTAGTAAGCAGGCACAAACAAAAGTGCGCGCTGCCCTTCGAGAGCAGCGCCGCAGCACCGGAGAGGATGAGGCCCTTGAGGCCGAAGATGGCTCTACGGGGGAAGAGGCTCTACAGGGAGAGGCTCTACAGGGAGAGGCTCTACAGGGGGAGGCTCTACAGGGGGTCGCGGTACAAGCCGGGGCAGGGGACGCATTTTGAAAAAGCCTGCAGCCAGTGCTGCTGAACCTGAAATCAAAGATGAAGAGCCAGAGGAGGAACATGTAGGAAAGGACCAGGAAGAGGCTTCCAGTAGCAGCAAGGGCAAGAAGAGGAAGCAGCTTGAGATTCAGGACTTGGGCAGTGTCGTTGTTTTTTTGTTTTTTCGGCAAATTTTGCAAATTTGGATCACCTCCCTAGCATATGCTCAGGACTTCGACAATGTCATGAAAGAGCTGCGCCATGTGGCGAAGAATGACAAGAGGTTTGTCATTGATCCAGCAGTGCAAACCGTGGGAAAGAAGCCCGGATCCTATCCCCTAGAGTATCTCTGTAGTGTGTGAAAGACTTCATGAGGAATACTAATCCGTGTGCTGAGGAGCTTTACTTTGAGATGCCCCGACAAAACTGCAAGCACCATCGGAGTCTGGCGCACGCCTTACTTAGGGGGTCTAATAAAATATTCCTGTCCTTTGTGATGCGTCATACTGCATAACTCCAGGCTGCGGCACAAGGAATTCTACGTTAACTCGGCGGACCGAGAAGTGGTCCAAAAGCTTACTGAAATGTGCGGCTTCCCCTCCAAGCACTTTACGGCCATTGCCTTAAATTTGACGAAAATATTCACCGCATGAGCAAAATTGTGTTTGCAAAGGTCAACGTCAATGAAGGCTTGACGGTGGGCTGGTCGAAATTTGAAACAATATGGGACGCGTTTCTGGCTCAGCTTTTTTGGTGTCATGCAAGGCTGATGGCTGGTTGTGATATCGACCTGCTTAGGTGGATGTTTGCAACCCATGCGGCCGAGTGGGACCATCCGGATGATCCCTGAAGTTTTACATCGGGTTGCGTCTGGGTGACTGCTGAAGTTTTGTGTTCGGCTGTCTCATGCAGATTGAAGCCCCTAGCTGTCGTGAAAACGAAGTGTTACAAGGGACCGCGCTCCATCATTTTGAACCTCTGGGTCTCTTGCACTCAAGTTACATCTGTCTGCATTGTGTGGAGAGAGTAGATTTAGGCTTGCAGCTGCACGTTTGAAAACGGTCATGTCTGAAAACGTTTCTGTCCCAAAACTTTTTTCGTAAGCTGCATTCGCTTCTGTGCTTTTAAGCCAATCTGGGCTATGCAGTGTGTGTAAAGTCAGCAAAGTTTCCAACATGGCGCCATGGATGCTCAAGGGTGTGGCAATGAGTATGGTGACAACTCTTGCCTTGCGGAAATGCGGATTTCCAATTTTGATGTCTCCTGCTTGCAAGCCCAAAACAATATACGTATCTAGAATCTCGCGACCACCTAAAACAAACATAATCCCATCCGAGGCTTCACTTGCTAGATTATGTGGCCCAGAATGCTGAAGGGCCCAACGAGGTTCGCGCGAGGAGCTCGGCAAATATTGTGGGTGAACTTTTTCTGTTAAATCTTAAACGTGGGCTGAGGACTTGTATTGCCTGGATCTGTTTGCGGGAAAACGATCGCTGGAGCTTGGATTCAGCTTGGTTCTGAGATGTTTTTGTTTTGGCTTTGCTTGATTTTTCTTACTTGTACGCATGTAGATTTCAGACATTGAGTGCTTAGGTGCAAAAGGAGCCAAGTCGTGGGGGTCTCATCTTGGCACTGCCAAACTTAGCAAATCTGGGCTGAAACCAAGGGATTATTTTGAAATCAATGCCCGACCGGAAGACGACCTGCTGACGGTGCCCTCACCTTATTGCCCTCTTTTCATATCATGTAGTTATGATGCAAGTGGACTAAGGCATGGACTGGTCCGGGCAACCCTGAAAACCCTGCGCTTGAAAGAGGGAGGATTACTGGCCGCTGGCCTACCTTGCTCTTCGTGGGTGTTCTTGAACCGGTCTACATCAGGACGTACCAAAAAAAAATCTGGGGCACAACCAGGCACAAGTATATCAGGCAAGCCAACAAGTGCCTAGCCTGCCAAGTGTAAAGCATGCCTTTTCTATTTGCCTCTACATATATTAAAATTCGAAAGCATTATAACTTATGCCCGCAATCTTAATTTAATTAACATGACAGCTCAGGTTGGCAACTCGTACACTTTTGCTTTGCATGGTCGCCCTTATGCGGGCAGTCCACTTCTTCATTGAACAGCCGTCCTCATCCCTCCTTGTGCACCTCCCGTACATGAAAATTCCTCGAGAATGTCCTAGCAGCATACATTCCATTTCGTTTGGTGCGATTGCCAGGGGCCTACTTTCCGTTTTTTGTTTATGCTGCTGAGTTTTGGGTCTTGAAGCTACCTGAACTATCTTGTGCTCAGTTGGATGGGGCTATTTGGGCACATGAGTCCAAAATTGACATTGCTCATGGGCACACCGCCTCAGCCTCAGCTTTCACCGAAACAATAATGATTCAATAGTGTGTGTTGGGTTTGGCATTTTCTCCGTGTTTGCTGGAAAGGCCGTGGCTTGAGGAGCTTTGCGAGACTTTGACAAAAGAAAAGAAGAAGGAGCTGGGTTTGTGCTCCAAAGGTGTTACAAAGAAGAAGAAAGATCCCCGCACCGGCAAGGTCAAAGTGTACTCGCCTTAGCAAACACATGAACACATAGTGTGCGAGGCCATGTCCAAAGTTCCTTAATCTTAAATGTCTTCTGAGGCAAGGAGGGCCCAGATTGAAACAAACACAAACATATCCCGTCAAGTTTGGGAAGACCGTGGCAAAAAAACACCTGAAGATGATGGCCTTGCCCCTAGTTGCATGGGAATCCTACTGGCAGCTGTGTTTGTGTGGGCTGTTGTATCTTACTTCCTCGCAACCATTTCCCAGGTTTCGCAAAGTGACGCGCTTCGTGTGCCAGTGCAAAAGGTGTCTGAGGCAGCTTGTGTGTGAGCCAATTCAAAATAATCAGAAGTTTCTAATTACTTGTGGCAACTGGCCAGGTTCCAAACTTTCAGCGTGCTCCCTTGAATTGGAAGCACGCCGACCTTGACGAGGTTTGGGATTTCCTACAGGAGGAAATCAATGCAGGGCGATATACGCCCGTGCTTCCGTTCCACAGGCAGTGAAAACAAAGCTTATTATAAGGGCCCCTAGACTCCTAGACTATAATTCCAAACAAAAAGTATTGTGGTTTGCTTTTTTCTGCCTCGGGTTACAGTAGACAAAGCCTGCGCAAGCAAGTTTTTGCCGAAACAAAAAGAATACTGCTGAGCGATTGAGCAAAATATTGTTTCAAAGTGTTGTGTTCGCATTGTTTTCCCCAAAACCGTACCCCGTGAAAACCCCGCGAAAACCCCGTGAAAAGCACCCAGAAAACTGTGATAAGGACCCAGAAAACTGTGATAATAAAATGCCGTAATTTAGAGGGACAACCGTACAAGTTTCTGATTGTTGTGGAAACATGTTCACGCTGTCATGGGGGTTTGCAAATCAAGTCTACTTGTGTTTTGGGAGCAGAGAACTGCTACCGGCCATGGTGCTGGATGTTTCGTCCATCCTTGCAAAAGCCAAACAAAGAAAAGAAAGAGCCGGAGCAGCAGAAGCCAATGAGCCAGCCAAAAAAACAAGAAGGATGCCTGAGCCATAGTTTTCGCGTGCGTGCTAGCATGTATTTCAAAATCATTTGGTGGAGCAACGTGCAAGGTCGTCGCAAGATGCGCAAAACCCTTTGGGGGAAAACTCTGCAGAGGAGGAGCCCACCCCTTCCCCAGGTGCCAAAAGCAAAGCAAGCTTGGGTAGTACAGGTAAGACAGCTAGGCAAAAGAAAGACAAGAGAGCCCCAGCCAAGTTGGACACCCAGTCTTCCTTTGAGGACACTCAGGTCCTGGAAACCCCAGCCCACCGCGTGATTCGGAGAACTTCCACCTCGGACCTTAGCGCTGAGAAAGGCCAGGCTCCATCAGTGCTGAGGAGACCCCAGACAGTGGACTTGATCCCCACGGATTGCCGCAAAGAGACAGCCAAAGATATGCAAAAGAGCTTGGACAAAGAGCTCCAGGAAGCTAAGGAGGAGCAGAGGGAAGAAGAGGAGCGTGAAGCCCAGGAAGATGAGAACAACGATGCAAAGGATACGGCGGAAGGCGAGGAAGCGTCGCGCAAGCCAAAGTCCTTGCCCAGGCCAAAGGGAAAGTCACAACCTAAGGCCAAGGCGAAAGCAAAAGCAAAGGCAAAGGCAGCAGGAAAGAATACAAATGCAGGGAACAGCAAAGCTGCCAAGCCAAAGGCCAGCGCAAAGGGCAAAGAAGCGTCGGATGATGATTCGGAGAACATGAAGGACCACGAGACAGCGCAAGGATCATCCGAGCCAGCGAAACTGAGCTCCCCAAAGAAGGCAAAGGCAAAGGCAGCCCCTTCCCCAAGCGACACCCCAAGCGAGCAAGCACCCAACAAGAAGAGGAAGGATCAGGAGCCGGAAGAGGAGAAAGGCGAGGAAGCAGGCGATGAAATGAAAGTGAAGAAGCGAAAAGCCCACAAGCTGTATATGAGGTTCTGGAGGAGGGTGCAAAGTCTGACCCCTAAAATGGATTAGTTGAGCGTGTTGTCTTGTGCCCAAAGCCCCACTACTTTATTTGGCTGCGGTCTATGATCTAGGTCGGGAAACGCCACGGGAAATTCAGGACTGCTTCATGAGATTCAAGTATTGCCCCTGCGCTGCACTACCCTTTCTGTTGCAATTCGATGTGTGTGCTGAGGCTTCATTTTTGGTTGTTAGTGTATTGTATTTAAGGTTTAGGGTTTAGTAATATTATGATGAAGTTTGCAATCCTGAGGCAAAACCAAGATGAGTACGCTGTATGAGGATTTCATGGCTACCGGGGGTGCATGGGAGAAAGGCGTGGTGCTGAAGCAAATCCGATCCCGAGACCGCAACGGCAACCGTGCCTGTCGCAAATGGTTAACAAAGAAGCAACTGCTCAGGCACTTCGAGGGAGATGAAGAGTTGGTTGAAGCCTTGATAATCCGCAAGGAGACAGATGCCGATTTGAGCAAGAGCGAGGTCCGGCCCCACCCAGAATGTCCTGGCTACTTGTTTGAGTCTATGTAATTGTGTGGCTGCTTCAAATTAAAAAACCAAATAGTTCTTTTCGTTGCAATTAAATTCTGATTCGCTGAGGAATAAAACAATACCTAGTTCTACGAGCATGCGGTGGAAATTACCGACCTCTTTGAGGCGCGTGCGAAGGATGATGATTCCGACGATGGATCCGGATCCTCATCCTCTGACTCTTCCCAGGACCCAACACATACAATTACATCTATAATATAAACCTTAAAGCAAGCACCAGTTTGCAATCCCATCGTTTGGCAATTCATTTATCGCAGGACTGGGACAGTGAGGAGAAGCACCAGAAGAAAAACAAAAAAAAGAAGAAGGACAAGAAGGACCAGAAGGACAAGAAAGACAAGAAAGATAAGAACGGATTGAACAAAGGCAAGTCCAAGACGGGCATGGGCAAGAAGAAAGGCAAAGGCAAGAACAAAAAAAAGAACAACAAGGAAGGAACCCAGGAAGAGGAGATGAAGGAAAAGTCAAGGAAGATTTCAGTGGAAGCCAAGAAGGTTGGGTTTGTAGGATTCTTACACAGATTTTGAAAGCTTTTCATCTCCATCTAGAAAACCGGTGTTGTTCTGTGTTTGCTGGGGACAGGTCATCAACCAATTGAACAAGAAAATCAAAGAGCTGAACGCCGGGCTGAATGTCCAGGAGATGGATAAGCTGTTCTGTGCTCAGATTACCTCATATTCCAGAGTTCCGTGTGTTTGTAGGATATATTTGCAACCCACCCCCCAAGTGTAACTACTGATATTCTGAGCAGCAAGGACTTGCAGACAGCTCTGCGAAATGATCTTGATCGGCGAACAAAGAAGCTTACTTCTGGCCGAACCCGGCTTCAGGATGCTTTGGATTCTGGGAAGGACCGAAAAGCTCATTTAGATTCAAAATCACCATGCAATTATCGTTTCAAATGTGCCCTTTTCCAGGACGCGGAAATCGAGAAGCAGACAGTGTCGGCGCAAGAGCTCATTGCCGATGCAGATCATACTGTTTCGGTCAAGAAGCAGACGCCCAAGAAGAAAGGGGGTGACAAGTAGACAGCAAGCAATTGATACGGCAAAACCATCCAATTTAATCACATCAATTTTCGAAGTCGGAAAAGGTTTCGAGATTCTGGCAAAGTTGTTTGGAAGTGCTTGATTGGATGCGCTGTATGGATTGCTTCCTGGGAGCTTGACAGTGGCTGTCGAGTAGAATGCCTCAATGGAGAGGTTTTTGCTGAGATCCATACGGATCTCCTAGGTGAGTTAGATTGATGCCTACTGCCTGCAAAGCCGAGTAGCATGATTCGGTGCATCGCGTGCAACCCGGGGAGGGCTGTGTGCGTTAGAGCCCGGGCGTGAGTTGGCTGCTGGTGGTTTTGGGAAAAATGTGGGGCGTGCTTCGTGCTGATGTCTGATCCTTTGACCCTTGCGTATCTACCCAGCCGTTGTATCCTCGTACATAAGAAATGTGCGTGCAGGTGCGTCCAAATGGGGGCACTCCTACCTGGTAGAGGAGATGGTGGACAATGTGGCCAGCGCAGCGGCACAGCCGATAACATAGAGGTTAGGTTTTATAATTTAGAGTTGCAGGCATGTTCTTGTTTGTTTTATTTGTGGCGATTCATCCAAGGCGTCTTCTATCGGAAAAGAAATGCGTGCTGCCAAAAGCTCTGTCTTGGAACTTGGGCCTGAAATGTTTTTGACTCATGTGCTGTGGGCTGCCTTCATATGCGGGACCTGTTTCAGCTGAGGATTGCCGTTCTTCTAACCTGCCACCAATGATGCGTAAGCTTGGGTCATACAGTGGGCACAACAATTCCCGGGATTTTGCGAATGCAATGCGACTTCCAGTGGTAGGGGCTGGGCTAAACTTGTAATAATTCAATCTACTTTGTATTAATACTAATATCTGTTCTGTTCAGTTCTGAGACCCCTGACAGAAGCCGGTGATGGTAAAGACACGGGTTCGAAAAAGGGAAGATTCGACAGCAGAAATCGAGAGATCAATTCCAGTATTACTTCCCCATATGATTTTCAAATACCTATGCGATGAAGTGGGCCTCGAGATTGGGGCAAACGTCTTAAGGCGATATTGGCAACACTGCAAGGCTGTCATGCCTTGGGCGACAAATCCTGATTTTGATGGCCTGCATATACCCGTGACCATCTATGGAGACACAGCAAGATATGGGCAAGGGTATGACCAAAGCAAGGTGACTGGCTGCTGGATGAGCTTGGTTTTATGGCGGCCCCGAAGCACACGTATGAGCAACTGGCTTTTGTGGTGTTTGAACGCGGACTTGAGTTTGGGTGCAAAGTCCCACAACCCCCTCTACCTGGCTGTTGTGCAATCCCTCAATTCCTGTTTCATCGGCGAAACACCTGGAGGTGAAACAATGACACACAAATTCGCCGTTACTGAAATTCGCGGTGATTGGGAATTTCAGGCCCAAACTTTTGGCATGAAGCGATTCTGGAAATGCCGATTTATTTGCTGGAGGTGCGATGCTGAAAACCATGTAAATGCTGAGCACAGCTTTTTGGATCTCAGTGAGTCCCCACCCTGGGCAAATACATCGTTGAGCCAAACCAGGTTTCTGACCAATGTTGTTGGGGACATAGAGATTTGACCCATGTTTGCAGTCAAGAAACATTTTGGGTGATGATAGGCTGAATCTTAATATTAGCTCCAAACAAAGTACTGTAATGACTAGAAGAAAATGCTCGCATTGCAGGTCCGTTGCTTGGGTTACATGGCTTCCATGTATCTATGCTCTGCCATTGTTCACTTCACAATGTGAATCTGGGAGTTTGTCAGGATGCTACTGGATCTACTCTGTCGGTCTGCTTTGTTTGCAAATGTTCTGCGTTTCTTGTTTTGCGGTTCAGACTTAGGTTAGCTTTAGCTGGGGCTTGTTTGTATTACCCTCAAGCCAAGGATGTACCTCATAGAACGTGGATTCTTTGGATGCCCAGAAACCGTGACATTCCAGAAACTTTTGGTTGCGGCATTCCGCGATTTCAAAACTTTCCAGAAAGCCTCGGGAATAGTGTGTTCCCAAACGAAGTTTGTTCCAAACTTTGAGCCTTGTCTGGCCTAGTTTTTCAGTTTGTTCATTCTGATAATATCATATTATAAGAACCAGAAAGAATGTCTTTTGGACGAGGGTTTTTAACAATATTCAAGAAGAGGTCTACAAAGAGGAAGGAGGTGCAAAGATGGCTCATAAGGGCTATAACGGCAGGGTCCTGGCCTTGTGGTTGGGAGATTGCATGCAAAGAGCCGTGCGCAAAACTCTTTCTGCTGACCGCGAATTTGGGAAATGGCTACACGATGCTGGCCGCTGGCCTTCTTCTTCCGACGATGAACTGTTGGCACCTACAGCAGTTGCCATGTAACCCGAATTCTCAGTTAGTTTGTTTTACAACCAATCGTTTGGTTTAATTTCGTGTATTCACAAACATCACAAAACCGGGTTCTTTGTCCAGGGGAATGTGTTTCGCGTAAAAGGCAATCGTTGTGCTCTTGGTTTCTTGCGGTCGAAAGCCACGGACGGTATCTGATGCTGGTCCCAAGGATTCCACACTTTTTTGGCTTTATCATACATGTGCGCACTAGGCTGCCCAATTCCTGTTTGCTTAAGAAACGCTGCTGAGGACTCAAGCGGCTGCTGACAAAATCTACAGCCACGGGATGACATATTTGAGGTATCATGTTCTCCTCTGCAAGCTGGCCATGAGGCCCGCAGTTTAGGATTTAGGGTTTTGGGTTTAATTAGGGGCTAATTTAAACGTAGGGTACCTGCAACCTCCACTGCGTTCGCCACCAGGCAATACAGGCTATGGTGGCAAGTCCGGCCAAAGATACATGCACCTGGGATTGCATAACAATGTTATCGACAGCTTCATTTTCAATAGTTTCACCCCCAAACAAACTCAGGCATTTCATCACCAACTTCGTGATGTCAGATTTCGCAGCTGCTGGGCCTCTCCAATTTCAAGCTTCTTGTTAAAACCATAAGCCCTAAATCCCAAACCCTGAATACCTTCACCTCTCCCATATTAACGAAAACGAAGGACTCAACACGAGATTCTTCCACACCTTCCGGGAAGAGGACTGCATGAAATGGCTCAAACGCAGCCTGCTTGCAAATAGTTTTGAGTGGAGGTGAGTTGAGACACAACGGTGCTCCCAAATCTGAATCTTATATACTAAGGTGCTGCGCAGGAATCTGATTCAAGACGATTTGAGCGCGGCATTATTATGCTGGCAAGGTACAGGCTACTGTCCATGCGAAAGTTGCAAAGAATTCGTAATTTGAATCTTTCAGCGCGGAAGCGCGAAAGGAAACGGTGAGAAAAGATGCCAATAATTAGAGCTTTGAATCTCTCAGCACGAAGGCACGAAAGGAAACAAAAGGGAGGCAAGAGTATGTCAAAGGATTTCGATCGCATGCAGCTGGTCTTCAGACACAACCTCATCAACAAAACTATGTAAGACCTTGAACCCAGTGAACCGCCTACTTTGGGTTAAATACATACTTAACCGAGAAGTTGTCGTTAAACCCCTACTTTTGACTTGCAGGGTATAGTTGTGCTTGGAAACTAGGACCATACATATTGTTGGCAAGTATTCATTCCCAGGCATGTGGGATTATACGTGCAGTTAGAAGTAGTTACGGAGTCCCATGAACCTCCAAGTACTGTTACCCTGGGGTTGACACAGGATTCCGGATTGTTGTTTCACATGATGTAGGGACCTGACAAGTTTCCGTAATTGGGTTGGGGATTTACGTCTCTACCTGCAATAATGGAAAAGAGAATCAAGCCGCAATTTCCTTGTGTGAGCTTAGTATCGGGTACTTCAAACAAACTTCATAATGATATTGGTAACCATCTTGCCACTATAGTAATGCAGACCCCCGATTAATGACCCCCTCCCCTTGATAGGGATTGTAATGGGGATCCTAATATTCAGGCCCTTAAGAGGAGGGGGTTTATTAA